CCTGGGATCGAGCCCCGCATCGGGCTCCCTGCTCGGCGGGAAGCCTGCTTCTCCCTCTCCCACTCCCCCTGCTTGTGTTCCCTCTCTCGCTGTGTCTTTGTCAAATAAATAAATAAAATCTTTAAAAAACAAAAATACACCACGAAGCTGACGAGCAGCTGGGTAAGGACGTGAGGGAGTTGCTCGGACAGCAGGGCCACAGGTGTGGGCTGCGGCACAGACACCTCTTGGGGTGTCCATGCCCTGAATGAGACGAACGTGCTTTCTCTGGGAAGACCGGGGGTGTGTCCAGTGGAGGCATGGAAACAACAGTTAAAAAAAGTCTTCACTTGATTGAAGCAATTATCTCTGAATGAATTACTTAGGGAAATTCATTCTGAACATACTGGAACAGACTGCTCAAGTATGGAATGTCATCAAACTTCCAAGGAAATTTTTAAGTTTTTTGGTGATTATTTAAAAACAAATAAAAAAAAAAACAAAAAACCTCAAACCCCTTATCTTTTTTGAGGTATCTGCTGAAATATTTATGGATGAAATGCTATCTGGGGTTCACCTGAAAACAAAGCAAGAGGACAGGGAAAGTGGATGGGGTGTGGGAAGAGCAAGACTGGCCAGGCTGCTGACCGTTGAAACTGGGTGGTCAGTACACGGGGGCTCATTATATTAATCTCATGGTTTACATTTTCCATTGTAAAAAAGATTAAGAAAGGCACAGACCAAAAAAATTAAAATTCCTCTTGAGGTTTTTCTAGGAGATACAGTAGGCAAAACACCCCATTACAAAGTTCAGAGAGACCACAGTAAGGAAAATCCCAAAGAACCAAGGTCTCTGTGGTGTCTAACCAAACCATCTCCTGATCGCTTCATTGTTACTTAAAAGGCTTTAAATCTTTTTTTTTTTTTTCCAAGAAGACATTTCAGCCGAGGCCACGAGGTCACGAGGGGTGACTTACGTGGCTGCAATGGCCACTTCCTCGGTGGTAACGGGCTGGGTGTGGGATCTGTCCTGTAGCCGCCGTAGTCTTTGTTCCACGGCTGCATTTCTGGAGCGTCGCTTTGGAGCGTTTTTCTCATCAAATGATTTTTCCATTTCCTAGGATCAGAAACAATGCGGAATCCTTATACGTATGAGGAAAGGACACTGGGGCCGCAGTGTCTCTGCTCTGTTCCCCTAACAGGGCCCCCGGGAGGGACCCCCCCGTGAGGCTCACATCATTCTCAGAAGTGTGCACCTGTGTGGTGTCAGCAGGGGTCACACCAGCCAGGGGCTCAGAGAGAAGCACGTGGGCTGGGGCAAGGGGGGCCGGAGGGGCCCCGTGCAGGGAACAGGGGGACGGTTTCGCTTCAAGCACTTCGGCACACCTTACCCTGAAAAGCAGCCTCTTGGCAGCGACACTCAGCTTGGCTCGTTCGTCTACCTTTTCTTCATCTGTAAAAGGCCACAAAATAAAAACTGAACATCATTAGAAAAATGTAGGTGAAGTCTCTGAAAAGTTTCCCAAGGCTGCCCTGGAAATCCTTTGAATATAAGAACGGATGTACCAAAAATTACAATTGGCAATATTTTCCCCTTGGAGAGATCCCATCCTTCTGCTCAGTGAAAAGGTGCTAATTTCCATTGCAATTAACCAGACAAAACTCTGTCTGGACAGGAATTTTCTATGACGATATTTGAACAATTGAAGTTTAAGAATAGATTTTATGCAAGGAATTTCTCTTCTTTATTGTTACACAGTAACAAGAAATTAACAAAGAGCTGCTGCTTTAGCCAATCAGTTGTTTTAATATTATTCATTCCACAGTTCTAAGTCTCTCAAAAATAGGGAAAAGCTCACCTGAGAATCTCAACTAGGTTTTATTAGACTCACAGAAAAAAAAACCTGTGGAAAAGAAATCGGTATGCTCCATAATCTCATCCTCTCAAAGAGCAAAACCTTACGGAAACCTAATCTGGGTGAGATGATAGAGAAGCGGCAAAAGGAAAACAGATACTTGCCCTCAGCAGTTGGCATTTCTGAATGCGAAGCAGACCTAGGAAAGACATTAGGCAAATAATAATAACAAAAAATTAGCCGGTGGGAATAGAAGATCTAAACAAAACATCAGATTAAAAGTTAAAGTAAAAACAAAAGTAAAAATTCAATTGAAATCTTTTAAAGAATATCATCCTGCTAGCAATTCTCGTTACAGGTGTTAATGGACACGGTGGAGTGTGTGGGCACACAACCCAGCCAGGTGCACATCTCGTGGAGACAAACCAGAACCCAGTGTGACTTATTAAACAGGACTGGTCACTTTGTAGACAAACCTCATCATCTCTATGCATAAGCACAGGATCGTATAAAACTCAGATATGACAAATACACAGACATTTATAAAACGAATATAAAATCCCTAGTTCTTCGCACTGGAAAATCTGGTGAATACTCACTGTGGATTCTAATTTAACGAGGGCATAAGAAATGAAAAGGGGTAAATGAAGAAAAATAATGTGTCTCACTTCTTACCATCTGAATGCAATGTAAAACTGTATTGGGATACTGTTGTCACGGGCCATGTTCTTTAAAAATACATGTATACAAGCCACATAAGTATCTCTTATAGATTAGATGGAAGAATGATGAAATCGCCACATCCCATTTAAACAGCGCCAGGACCATCACTGTGGGAAAATCCCGTACGACTGCTTTTAAGTTCCTAGGCTACAGAACTACACATCACGCATGCCTACCTATCCGATTCCTTTCGTTCTGCTGAGGTTATAGGTTGAGTTCTAAATCTCTCGGAAGTTTTCCTACTTTCACCAGGAGAAAAATAGCGTCTTGGTTTCCGGGACCCTCTTTCCCGTTCCACACCGGTAGGCAAGCCAACGCCTTCGGTTGACCTCTCCACCCGGGATTGGCTTTTAGAGTCATCGGGAGGGAGTGTACAGAAGGGAAAGGAGAGACAGAGAGAGAGAATAAAGCAAAGGTTTATGCATCTCAGTGAGGCAAGGCCCAGACACCGCCAAGTCCCGCTGCATGCCCCGACCATGCACTTAAAGGAGGCGGAGATTCCAGCGACCCAGTACTGTAGCTCCCCATTAGTAGGCAGAAGCAGAATGGTAGTTTTTGAGCCATTTCCTGTACGGTCTGCCCTGCACACTGGTGAGCTAAGCTAACATGACTCAATGCAGGACACACCACAAGTTGAGAAGTGAATAATTCTGCCAAGGACGTGCAAGTGACACATCAGGAGGATGTTTGAAACATCACCTACAGTTCGGGTTTCTTGTTGGCATTGACAGACTCCAGAAATGCATTTCGGAGCTGGGCGACAGAGACCTTCGTGTCTAGCATGCCGACGTCCGGGGGGGGCCCTTCAGCTTTGGAACTCTGCAGCTCTGGTTCTTGCCTGGACGTGGGGTCCTTACACTTCAGGGCCTGCAGCTGAGGGGGGCCCGTGTAGTCAGACAGGGAGCGGGTGAGGACCTTGCGTTTCTTCGTCAGGCCTTCCTTTCTGTGGCCTGTCGCCCTGGCATCTTGGGACACGGGCTGGCTCTGAACATATAAAACCACTTCTTGTCTGCTGATCCTTTCCGTGGGTTGTTGCTGAGCTGCAGGCGGGGGCGACAGACTCTCTGGTTCCTTCTGATGTTCTGAGGTGACTGTGCTCACAGCAGCCTTGCCGAAGTCTTCGTTTCCAGAGGGATCTTCGTGGCTTCTCGTAGGCCCATGATCCTCCAAAGCCAAAAGTGATTTCCTGCTTTTCTCGAGAGCTTCAGTGAAGAGCGTATCTTCCTCTGCTTTCGATTCACAAATATGGAGAACTGGGGTATCCCTTCTCTCACTCTCTAGAACCTTCGAGGTGGGAGGCTTTCTGACATGTTGGGTGGCTGACCCCCCCCAGCTGCATTCAGATAAATTTTCTGGGATCTCTGAGGTCACCAGCGTGGCCGTGTGAATGGGGTCTGCCGGTTGGACATAGCCTCGGATTGGCTGTCCCGTGGAGCTGGCTGCCTTGCTCGAGACCCTATCGAAGGCCGAATTTTCTGACTGAAAGGATGAGCAATGGACAGGCACTGGCTGATGTCTCCTCTGAGTGAAGGGCTCGGAGGCCACCTCAGGGCTGCTTCGAGCACTCTCCTCTTTCACCATTTTTTCTCTAACCTTAACTCTTTAAGAAAGAAAAAGGATTTAAGTTGCAAAGTGCAGTAACTGCTTCAGGGGGAGAAAGCATGCGTGGACCATAGATTACCCGTGAATGGAAATCCACCCAAAGGCAGAACCACTGGTGACAGTGCATTTCTGGTGGTTAATGTCAGAAACCCACTGCCTGCCGGATGAACGATTTCGAGTTTCCAAATGTGCGTACAGACGTCAGTGTGGCTCCAAACTCACTCCGCCCTCCATAAAGCTGAGATGGCTCGGATGCCATCCTGGGTGAGAATGGATGCCTTCTGACTGAATGACCAGAAGCCACGGAAAAATCCATTAATATACAACAACAGCATGCATGAGGGCACACCAAGGCTGTTGGTGGGAATCCGTAAACCCTCCACCCATATAGGCCTTGCGTGTGGACTCTGGGGGGAGTTTCCAGGTACACACACACCTATTGACCAAATGTGATTTCACTGTCCCCTGGAAATGTAAGAACATTTGTGATTTTTTAATTTTTTTAATTGAGCTCAAAATACAGCAAACAATCACCCCTTTCAAGCACTCAACTAAACATTCCCAAGCTTCTTCATGCAACGCAGACTGTATTCATTCATTCCTAAGACATGTGACCAGTTTGGACATCATTACTACTAACCATTGTCGCACCAAGAAGACTGTTAGAGAAAAGATATTTGTTGAAAAAACTAACAGACTAAACGTTTTCTCCCCTTTGGAATCGCTATTGGACCCTTAGTTAAAAACTCATGTGAAGAGAGATTGCTCTCGTTTCTAGGGCTATTTAAATATCTGAGAGCAAAACTGAAATCCAGTTTAAAAGCTACAGCCCTTTTTCTATCACTGCAGAAGCAAAGTAGCCAAGAGCTCTGGCCAGGGGCACCTCAGAGACCTGGATTCAAAACTGGCTCACTCAGTTCTAGCTGTGTGGTCTCAGGCAACTTACCTGGCTCAGTTGCCTTGTTTTTAAATGGAAATCGTAGTGACAAAATGTAATGTGATGTTGGCAAAGCACTTGGATGGCTTAGTACTAAGTACTCTTAGCAAAGAGTAACCATTTAATAGTGTTAGCTGGTACTTATCTTTGCTTCCTGAAATGCCACATAGTGAGAAAGGAGAAACCATTGAAGCTGTTCAAGAATGGATTACTAATTGGCAATAATCCTTAAAAAGTAAAACACATTTTTGGAGTGGGAAAAGTGATTTCTTGGGGGAATATAAACCTTCATGTACTGAAGATTAGTCAGCAAAAATAATTATTTATGACAGTTTTGGAAGAGAATAATTCCTGCTTTTTTTTTTTCTCCTGAATTGTTCATGGTAACTGCCTTTTATGTGTGTCTTTGATTTTTTGTTAACGAAATATACATAGATATCCTGTATCTGATGTGGAAAAACACGTAGGAGTTTGTATCAAATTTAGCAGGGTGCATTTGTCATGATGTTCTGAGGTGACTGTGCTCACAGCAGCCTTGCCGAAGTCTTCGTTTCCAGAGGGATCTTCGTGGCTTCTCGTAGGCCCATGATCCTCCAAAGCCAAAAGTGATTTCCTGCTTTTCTC